ATCTTGTCTAGGCTTTTATGCTCAAAATAAAGTAGGTACAACTTAGGTACTCAAACTTTCGTTTCGCTAAACGCTTCTGACAAAGGACTAACAACGATTATTTTACACACTAAATATATTTGTAACCAAGTTGTTTTGCCAAAACAACTCTGCGAGACAGACAGCGATGAAGGAACTGATAGTATCTCTTTAATCAATGAGGGAGTCTGAAAATAATAACTTGGTACAAAAAGTATTATCGAGAAATATTAGCTATAATGTTAAATTACATACATTGTAGCTATCGAAACACAAGATTATGTAAGTCTTAGATCTGTAAAAAATGTTTCCTTTACCGAAGGCTTAAAGGTAATATAAAACTCAATTTAACTTTAAAAAAGATAAAATCTTTCATTACAGCATAAAAAAGAACGTCTAATATCTGCCCCTTATATTTTGCCGCATTTATAAAGGATTACTTTTAACTCTTATCAGCAAAATAAGGGGTGCGCAGAAAACGTAATTTGGGTGCAAATATTCTAAGTGGATTACAGAAAAAAAACAACTGTATTAGATGCATGGACGTATAAAAAAATGTCTGACGGAACTCTCGCTAACACAAAACTGAGACACCGTAATGGTTGCAGCCCTGTGTGTGTGAATAAATTTTAGGGTTGACGAGTTAAAAATATTTGTAAATATTTGTTCGAAATTTTACTGTTTAATGTCCTAAATGCTGTAATTTTTTTATAACAATTCTTTGAGTCTTACTTTGAGAGGTTCTTGAAATTTCCTCTGATTTCGAGATCTGGTGAAACCGAATCGTTAAATATTTTTCTGCTATGTATCTCATAAGACTTATTATGTATTATATTCCGACGAAAGTATGTTTAGATTCTAAGTTTAAAAATGCTTTCATTGCCAACAAAATTTTCTAGACTTTTGTGAGAATATATGTATTTGTGTTGTCTTTATTTTCACCATTACAATTTTTATTATTTGAATCCAATCATTTCTCCTTACTAGATTTTCCTTAGAAAATTTAGTAAAAGAATATGAAATAGTGTACCTATTAGTAACTATTAGATAAATAACCTTAATAAATTGATTTTAATAACAAACCAAAAATTTCCTTTGATGCCGGTAATTTGCATACTTTTAATGTATAAAATCTGAATATAAGTGATTGAATTATTCATTTACCTATGAAACGTAATTCCTGGATAATTTTTCTTTGGGTCATTAATTTATATGTATTTTACAGCATTTCATTATGCAAAACATGTCGTATATTTATATGTTTTCGCCGCATAACGCGTCTCGCTGTCTTGATGTTTGCGAACGTAATGGCTTACTTGAGTGACACAGTTTTTTGTTTTTAATACGTCCATGATTAGATGTAAACGTATCATCCTACAAGCATGCATAATCAAATTGTGATAACCCAGAAATAAAAAATAACGTAGACTACTTGTGAGTATTAAGTACAAAATCATCATTACCGTAGTAGCGTAGCGTAGTGCTAGCAAGCGGTAGTGTGGAAATGATACAAACAATCTTATGCAAGTAGAAAATGTGGAGTATTTTCCCGGGTGCAATCACCTTTACTTGCCTATACATATTTAAATAATAATACGAAAATTGCTACCGCGGGGTATCATTTGACAGGAGTATGTTTGCGTGGGGTAAAACACGCGACCCTAAGCAATTGACAGTTTAAGAAGTGAGACCCTAAAAGCAAGGTAAGAGAGGTAGTTTTTGTTTGTATTATATGCATGATCATTCACAGGGTTTATGGTTTCGCGCATGCGTTCATTTTGGAGGGAAAATGTTATACTGTGTTGTCATGACGATGTCCATTGTATCACTTAGCTAGTCTAGTGGTCTATGCACTTGCGATAGACTGGTTAAGATATCGTGCAATAGTGTAATTTATCAGTGATCACACTTCGCGGCTGAGTAAATAGCATTGTGAACAGGTCTTTGTTTTAAGTATTGTGATTGCACCCTCGCAAGGTTTGTTTTGTAGTCCTTACGTTTTATCTGTGTCTTGTATCGACATTGCGATCTAGTGCAATTAAGCTTAAGTTCAGACAAAGAAACTATGTATACATTACAAAATACGATTTTTTATTATTATATGAGAAACTTCAATTTCTTTATTTATAAATAGGTTTTGGATTAGTCCTTAATTCTTCCTTAGTGTATGTGTAAAATAAAATAAACCGACGTACCTGAAGATACACTTCACTTATCACAGTAACATAGTTATTTTTAGTGAAGAGGTCTTTGAAGTTTATTATTCAACCCTTGCAAAGTTTATTTTGTAAGCCTAACATATTTTATCGTTGACTTTTATCGATATTGCGATCTAGTGCAATAAAGCTTTTATCGCCCTTTTTTCTTTTAATGTCTGAGACAAAGGAATTATTTTGACTATTTATTTATTGTTATTATATGAGTCACTTCGTTTTATATTGAATTATAAATTTCTTATTATAATTTTCTTAGTCCTTAGGTTCAGCCTTAATAGACGGTTTACACATACCGATTTATTTGCAGATAAACTTTACTTCTGTGACAATAACATATTTGTATTTACAAATATTTTAAATCGACATCCATAGTAGAGAACCCTTTAAACATCGAAATTAATAAATGATGTCAACATTGCTCCACTAAGTGTACAACATTGATATGTTCAAAATTAAGGCACTACAATACATTTGAGTCTCAAAACGTATAATACAACGGTCTTAATTAGTAACTAATGAACCCCTCTACGGTTCGAACTCATTCCGGTGATTCCTTGAATGGGAGACAATGAGCATACCCGGGATAAAGTATTGTGTTTGTCAATTAGATCTTTCGCCGGTTAATTGCTGGCATCGCTTATATTTTTATTTTACCTGTTATTCCAGTAGCCGACATCACCCTTTTGTTTTTCTTTATTTGTTGTAAATCATTCGTAACCGGTTTTATGTTTGGAACTGTTGTGTTACCTCAACTGTTTTCGGTTTTTCTTCTACGTTGAAGTATATTAAATATTTTTTGTAAATGGGAACGAACACGTGTCCGTTATAGCAAAAATAATCTTTAACCTTCCGGTTCCGGTTCAAAGGTCAAAAAATCTCTAAAAACATCCCTCCCAGCCGGCTCTACTTCTTGAAATCAAGAATCAGAATATAAAGCTGTCATTTTTTGCTTGTACTTACATATTGTCTACATCTTTAATCAAGGTTGATATAAATCTTGTCAAACGCTTGCGTTCTTAAAAGAGGGAAAAAATCGATTACGGTGGTGATTACAATAAATCGTACGATTTATTCGCCAATATTTTTTATGTTAGTCTTCGCCGTATTTGTTATTTTATTATTTTTATTATTGGTACGCTATTTTAGTGTTGTTTTTATGGGACCAAATTAACGGTTAAGCAGTAACATGATTTCTGAGAATTGCAGAATGTAATTTACCAATTCACTATGTACCATAAAACAATACTGAATGTTTCACTGAGAAGTAAAGCCTACATAAAGGCAACGTTCACATCTTTTTTATTGGTAACAAAAATTGAAAAAAAGAGTAAAGTAGTGTTTCTTTGTATGATCAACATAAAGTTGGTTAACATCAGTAGTCATATGGTTGATGCTACCACAGCAATTGGTTATACATAGTTTGTAGCTGAGATGTCTTAATTTTCGAATACGAGGGAATATTTAAAAGACATGTTACAAACGCCATGCCCGCCCCAAATAGTTGTGACATCTTCTGCATGTTTGACCAAACTCAGAGAGTTAATAGACAGTAGCACAAATAACAAATATTTTATGCATTGTATCTCACACTACGTAACATAATTATAATAATAATTACTTAAAAAATATGAACGACATACGAATGCGAAATAAAATGCAAATACAGACTGATGATTATAAAATAACATACAATAAACTACAGAACCCGTTATGTAACATTCAGCATGTTTTATTCATGTTAGTTATTAGCAACACTGAATAAATACTATCTCTTGATCTATTTTCGCACTATTGTAAGTGTCGTAAATATAGTGTAGGCGTTCTTGAATGAATAAGTGCGCCTACAGCACAGTAAGTAAAGTGAATCTACAGCCTGTAATCTGGGATGATTGCAATGAAAATATGGCATTTGTTCTGAAAAAAATAATGTAGCTACTATGAACATCTGTTACTCACTTCTAGATACTCAGTTTTAATCAGTACATTTTTTTTTATTTCCATGTTTAATTAATTAATTTTCTGTTAAATTCTGATTAAATGTTGAGACAGTGAAGACACGAAGTAAGAAATCAAAAGACACACGTTTTGCCGACCGCTAAACGTAACCGTGCGTGTCCGTAGTAAAAATCACTTTGTGTTCTGCCGTACTACCGAGTTCCGCCGATCACGGCTAGATGGCGTGCTATTAAATATTTGATTTGATGTTGGTTACTTTTTTTTATGAAATTAATTTAAATAATAGGTATGACACGTTTCTATTTTATTACTTCCCCTCTTGGCGTAGCAAAACTCTATGTGGTTGTTTGCTTTGATTGTTTAGGGTGAACTTGTTTTATTAATTATTTTAGGGCAACAGTTGTCTAAATTAATAACGAATGTAAAATCATGCAATCCATCATGGACCAGGCCAATGGATCTTCTGAAATTGAACTATTTCGTAAGGGACAGGGGACATTTATTGAAAATAATCAATTTTAATAGTGTATTATTTGAATATAATACTTCACCAAAGTATTTAAGTAACAACCATATCCTAACTTAATTTATGAAATAATAAAAAAAGTGAAATTAAATTAACTTAAAAAATAGTTACAGTGGATATAAATACATAGGGTTGCTTACATTACTAAAGTATTTCTGTTCAAGTGGTCTGAGTACGATCTTGAACAAATCTTAGCTCTCTCAAAGCTCAGTTAGAATATAAACAATTGGAAAAGATATATGTTCTAAATTCATTTTTTTTTGTCACCAGATTGGCGCGCACCGATGACCGACGAATCGGAGGCGGCGAGGGCCAGGCGCACCCCGGCGCCCCCGCCGCGTCAAACCGTGCGCCCCCCTGAGGCTCGCTCGCGCTCTCACATCCCTGAACCCGTAATACCTGGCATACGTATGCCGGCGCCTCCCCGCTTGTTCCGGCCGTCAGAACACTTGGCAATTGTGGAAAGGCAAATGGAGCGACGGCCTGCGCCGTTAATGCCTATGGTCACGGTGGTTCAGGGTCCTAGGCCGCCACTCCCACCTCCACAGCCTCCGGTATACAGGCATGTGGCACCGCCGCCTTTAAGGATGCCTGCGCCACCCTCCGTGAGAATGCCGCCACCTAGGAGAGAAATTCAGGTAAGAATTGCATTGATAAACAAGCCTCAGTTAGAATAGCAGTATGTAACATAATATTACTGACTGTTTGATCAGTCCATCAACTACTAATGACCATGAATGCTGATTCTGGGTGATGCTCACTTTTTAGTTGTGGATATTTACTATATAAGTAATTTACATAGTTATAAACGCCACACAATACCTGTGGAACAAGTTTCTATAAAATTTAAGATAAAATACATCTAGCAAAAATAAACGTTTTTGATTATGCATTCAAGATTTTCCATACAGATATTAAAACAAAACATACGATTTGATACTTGGCCTGCCACTAAAATTCTCCATGCATTCTAAACGGCTTTGTTTTAAGTATCCAATGTATCGCGTAATACGGGAACCAAACCGGTCCAATTCGTAACGGACAGCTTAAGCGCACACTTATTCGACTTGATTTAAAAATCGAAGAACCGTAAGAGTATCAAGGTGAAAGTAAAATATGTAAATTTAAATAAAACCTTAAAAATATATAATGTTCTTCAATCTAACGGACAAACAGTATGTCCCTCGCACAACCAGACAACTTGTCAGTATTCAGTCCACAATAGTTCAGTAAAGAATAAGTGTACTCCATGCCACTCCAAGGTTGAATAGTAGGCAGCTAATACCTTAAACCTTACCTTACCTTATTGTTGGTAAATAATAAGTAAATCAACCTTTTTTTTTCCGTGCGGAAATCCCCTCGTATACCAGCTATCAGTGGCATGTCGGACTCGAACCGACTAAAACCGCACGCCGTCTCGGGTACTAATAGCCGGGGAACCAGGTATACCCTAGGAAGGAAGTCCCTGGTGGACAAGTAAATCAACCTGGATATACTTATTGTTTTCCAATATACAAGTTACAAAGAATACTTTCTATAATTGGACATTTTTTCAGGAGTTGACTTTGCTCTAGAATTATACTCCAAATTGATGTTAATCAAAACTTATTTACTCTTGTGTACTACCTCCACCTCACTCATATATCATAATGTTACTGATTCCTGTCAGTTACATAAATATATTACTTATGTCGATCTCTGGGCTGAAATATCGTCATCAATAATATGTGGGTGTATTCTCCTCGCTACATGTTATGCTAATCATTACTTTGTTTACCGTGACATGCAGATATTTGAGGCATGTGTATCGGCGTAAAGTGATAGCTAATAAATCATGCCTAACAGACAATAGTCTAAAAGTTATTAATGATTATAAAAAAGAATAATATGTATCTTTTAATTTGTCGGACTGGTTTTTCTAGATTATAGTGAAGAACATGAGTTCAGTTAAGTTAGTTTTGTAACAACTCATGGATTTTCTTAAATATTTAACACCATTTTAATTTAATGATTCACAATTTAAAAGGTCTCACTGTTCATAAATCAGTAATTTATGAACAGTAAAGACCATTGTTCTTGTGCGAACATATTCGACATACATTTAATTTAAACTCCTTGTCCATGAGTTGCTTCCCAGTTGAGTCATTGTCCACTTTCTTATTTTTCTTATTATTTTGAGGTGACTGCTGCAATCAGATAATTTTTTTTGTAATCATGCCGTAAGAAGCCGAAAATCGATCGAAGTGGTGTGCATTGGGAGAGGCCTATGTCCAGCAGTGGACTGCGATAGCTTGATGATGAAGACAATTGAGCGACAATTTTTTTTTATTGCAACGTGATACGAAACCTAACCTATAACTTTCTACTGAGATAAAAATTGCTTAAAATACTAAAATATAATTAGATAGAATAGATAGAAAACTCGTTATTTGTACACCGTTATACACACAAAACAGATGTTTATTCACTGTTCTGTGATTTTACAAAACATATGCTATTTTACATAAAATTGACAGACTTGTAGTGTACAAAAGGCGTCCTTATTGCTAAGAGCAATCTCTTCCAAGCAACCTTAGGATAGATCAAAAAAATATAGTAAGTAAAATATACATATTTTAAAAAAGCCAGCAACAAATCTTATATACACACCTTCTATACAGAAATATATGAATATTTTAATGATAGTATGAGATTCCATTGTACTAAAAACGGTAATTGAATTATATGTACAATTAATACTGTGGTCGTAGGCTGATAAGGAAAGCTACAGTAACTTTTAAAGTCGAAATATTTTTTGTTTGTTTGTTGGTACGCGCTAATCTCTGGAGTTATCCGTCATATTTGAATAATTCCTTATGTATTGGGTATTCATTATGTAAGGCTGATAGGATGTAAGTATAAAATCACGATAGGTGCAGAGCAGAGTACATGAAATGGCAAGCTTGTAGATAAGTTTAAGCTAAAAATTAGGATAGTTATAGTTAGACTAATAATAATCTATGGTACAATAGCAATTAGGCTCAAACCTAAAACCACATTCTTAAAGCTTGGCGGATAATTTACTCTGCTAGTTTTTAGGTAAGAAACAAGCATTCGTTACTTTCATTCAGTTTACTTATAAATAATTAGACTGTCACTTCGGCCGGCTGTGCTCAAATTATTTCTACTATGTAACGAAAGTTTGTTCATAAATATATAAAATAAAAATACTACATCCACAGTGGAAAATATATTTTTTATTTTCGTTGTTAAAAACTAGAATTAATCACTGCAATGGATTTAGGTTTTAAACTTACGTTTAACAATTGCAGAATACATGATTACAGACACGAATCGCCAATCAAATACATTCTAACTAAGTTCTGACTTGCACGTCTCATTTCCGTAATCTCTCAATCTCAGACTAAATTATTAAAATTCTCAATCGACCTAGTTAAGGGACTAATGACTGCAGCATTCGACCCACATTGTCTTTGATTGAGTATTGGTAATGGACAGGCAATCAACAGAGATATGAGAGACGTCGTTTGTTAATTTTATTGAGAGTATCTTCTTATAAACCGTATGTTGGATATATGTAACGTCAGTTAGTGTGTTTAGGTCTGTGTTGTCGTCTTGTTGTTTCTGAAATAAGGAAGGATGTTTATTGTTCTTTATTTCTTTTTCAAACTACTTTTCACACCTTGTCTTCTGAATCCAAACTAGTCAGAAACTGTATAATGGGAATCAGAGTGCTAATAAACACATTTACATTATTTTTATAAAAACATGTTATAGATAAATTACACTCAGCCACGGAACAAATGATCTTGCTCATCACGCAAAAGAAGTGGGAATCGAACCGATGATCTCTGGCTCAGCAGTTCGCTTCACTAACCACTAGACCTACAGGTAATCTTTAAGTCATGAAACCATATTATAGTTATAAACTTATAATGTATTAATTAGAGTAATAGAATTTACTTGTAAGCTATCTCTCGGTCGATCTCTTAAAGTTCGTTCCCTATTTCAATTACTCGGTTGTTTAACCGGCGTTAGCAGAAGTCGGCAGAGACAATTTCTCGCTATGTAATTACTCGTTGGATTCGAGAGAATCTCGCCGTCCAATTAACAGCACCGAGTTACCAACAGCAGCCAATTATAAATACCAAGCTTAGATTCCTACTGTACAATGTGGCCAATAAAAACAGATATTGTAGAAAATTATTAATTGGATTTCCGCTACGTTATCGAATTAATTTAAAGAAAAATAGTAATAATGTTGTGTATTGGAATGTTATATAATTATGTAGTATTATACGTTGAATTTAATTGTCAGATAACATTATAACACTTCGAATCATTACATAGATTCAATAAAGATCTTCTCTCGTTTAGTGGTTTTTAATGTCAAGATAACTAAGCCAAATTAATACAATGTAACTTGTGGCAAGTCCGTGTGGTGATGGATTAAGAAAACGGAGTGACACCTCAACTATTCATCCCTTGGGTGTCGTAAGTACTCCAGTACTGCAAAGTGAAGAAAAACCTGAAAGAAACCTTATACCAACCCGTCTTTCCAGCGTGGTATAGTACGCCAAAACCTCCTTCCTAAGGAGAGGCCTATGTTCAGCAGTGGTCTAGTAAAGGCTGTTGATTGGATGTGTGGCAAGCGATTATTATCAATAATATATATACAGCTTTGTGGGATCTAGAAATTCATTATAATATCGTTATTTTGACCAATAGTTATTAAATACCTACAAAAAAGAAGAAGTTTATTCTGTTTTTTCAGTTTGTTCTGTAACAACTCTATTACTTAGTATAAAAAGTAGCTATTGCCGCAATAATTTTATAACATATATAGATATGTATATATACAATACATATTTATTTATACTAACTTTGAATCGAACAAGCAGATCGCATGTAAAAGCGTGGGCGAAGAATAGAATCGATTTACTATTCGATACTTTGTCAAGATATTGATATTTGTATCGACTATTCCATTAGTGGGTGCATTAGCCTTTTAATTGTGTATTATTGAACATGGTATAACACCCACGTTACAGGCCTGTTATTGCTTAGTAATCTGTGGTTAGTACAATAAAGGTGACAATACATTGGCCTGAACAATGATGCAAAGACGTTCTAGAATTAAGAATATCATAAGCTTCGGTTGAGCAAAGCCTGAAAATCATAGACTTATTCACAATATATTCTAAACAAATTAGTTTAGAATATATTGTAGTATGTGTGTGTATGCCGCCTTAGCCTTATTTAAGTTTTGAAGAAATCAAAATCCTATATGTAGAAAGAATACTATATGTAGATCAGATATAATTTAAATATAAGATTAAGTTTATTTATTAATTAAGATTAATTAGTAATTTAGACATTCACTATTAAATAACACATTATTGTTTAACTAAGTCTGCTGTCTCATCCATCGATCGGCCGAAGTGTCTGACAGTCCCGTGCTTCGTGTTTCTCATCGGTTATAGGAAGCTTAAATCTTCAGAAGTAAACAACTGCTAAAAGTCGAATGAGGAATCCTCGAGATTTGGAATGATCCTTATAATTATGATCAAGTCATAATTAGTATTTGTTTGGTTATGAATGTAAAGTGAATGTGGAGGCACCTTTATATAGTTTGACGTGCCTATTGCAAAACAACAAAACATTAAGTCTGTCGGTT